GAGAGAGAGAGAGAGAGAGAGGGACTGTGCCAAGCTGTCCATCATGTGACTCTGACACGTGCGCGCGAGAGAGAGAGAGAGAGAGGGACTGTGCCAAGCTGTCCATCATGTGACTCTGACACGTGCTACTTCGTTTCTTCTTTGCCTTTTGCCTTCCAGGAAATGTTCCAAGATGCACGGCCGGCATTATGGCTCTCATGTCAATGCTACTCCCGACAAGTCCCCCACCTGAAGAGCAACTGCCAAGCAGATTGAATGTTGATTGTTTCATTCATACAATGCAAAACTTGCTTAACATCAGTGTCACTCCTATAGTTGGAGGCGTCTTCCAACAACTTCCCCGGGCCAATCGTCAATGACATCATCTGAGCCCACCAAACTGACACTCACCCACACGTGCTTGCACTTGCACACACAGCGCCCAAACTCAACAAGTAAGCACGGGGCATACATGCAAGATGGCTTGATCGCAAACATATCTAGAGAACACAGCAAACAAAGTCTGATTCTGAATCTTTACCAAAAACATCAATGGGACAACGGACTGGATTTTCTCAGAAATGTCCAGAGTTCTTGCACAGCACAAAACAAAAACGATGCTGCAAAGGTAGCGGCTCCCCAAACAAAACACGCAAAGATAAAGAAAAAAGAATGTTCGGTGGTATTCCCTGCTATTTTCTTGCATGCGGGTTTTTGTCTGCTCTCAGGCTCTTCTTTTTCTTATTGTGAAAGAAGCGGCATATGATAGGGCAGTTCCTTATGCATTTTCTTTCTTTTGTGCTTTTTTCTTCTTCTGTTTTTGTGGGCGAAGCCGCAACAGGCCATCTAGTAGTCTTTGTTTGCACTCCAACTCGTGCCAGCCTCTGTACCTTGGGTCCTGGCTGGTTCCGGTACCACATTCCCTCGGCCTGTCTGCTTCTGAATGTCTTGGCCCGGAACCTTCCCGAATTTCCATTGGACTCTTGCTGCTTGGGCCTTTGAGTCATGACCTTTCACTTGTGAACATGACTTTTGACTGTGGATAGTGACTCCTCCCTATGGGTCACGACTTTTGTCTGTGATACTGCCTTTACTTCAAGGGATGTGTCTCTTCAACATGACTTTTCATTAGGAAACGTGGCTCCTGCCTTTGAGACATGATTCCTACTTGTGAGTCTGCCTTTTCACTCGTGGAATGTGACTCTTCTGAATGTTTTTTATTATGAGACGTGACTCTTATCCCTGAGACGTGACTCTTTGCTGGGTGCCTGTTGGACCAGACTGCTGAGGTACCCGATTGTGACTTTTCTGATTTTGACGAACTCAGCCTTTTTTTGGCCTGGGTATCTGACCCTGAGATCCGAATTCGGGGTCTGATTCGTGGAAGGCCTTTCATAGTCATCAATAATGCTGATCAGGGGTCCCTCGGCTGTGCGGAAGGAAGCTTGTGTAAATGACCCCCAGTACATGACGTAATTCTATGCCTTGTTGGGGGGGAAGTAACCAAACTCATGCTCCCAAAATGGGAAAGGCCTTTACAGGAGCCAGGACCTTTGTAATCTGAGTGGCCTGTGAAACCCCTTCCCCATCGGGGGACTTGTCCCACATACACCGTTGAGTTGAGGTAACTCAACAAAAAGTGTGAGAGTGGAAAATTCCTTTTTTAAATCGAGAGAAATCGGTAGCGTAACTTTTTAATGTGTGTTTATATACTTCCCCACCTTTCATCTCTAATACTATAAAGGAAGAAGCGGGTCTCGTGTGACGGGCCCAACAGAAACCGGGCGCCGCCACGCGGGACCGCTTCCAGGCAGTGGGCAAGGGGGAACCGGTGGCACGTCGGTGTCGGGAACTGTGCTCACTGGAAGGCATAGCGAAACCGGACCCTTTACAATTGGGAGGCCGTAGGGATCGGCGGGGGTGGGCCCTGCGAGAAATCACGCGCCGCGGTTGGGGACCGATACAGGGACCTGGAGACGCGCGCTGGGCTGTTCGAAAGTTTGGACAGATTCGCGCGCCGGAAGTTTCGACCTGCACGGTTCGCCCACTCACGTACGCACTTTGGGGACCGATACAGGTTTTGGGGACGTGCGCTCGCGCACGGGAAGCTTTGACGTGCAAGAGAGAGAGAGAGAGAGAGAGAGAGAGAGAGAGAGAGAGAGAGAGAGAGAGAGAGAGAGAGAGAGAGAGAGCCGCGCGTCTCGGCAGCACGCAGCGGCAACGACGGGAGGACGAGAGGAGGGCCGCATCGGCGCAAGGCAGGGGGAAGGAGGGGAGGAGGTAGCGGGAAGGAAGGGAGGATGCGACGAAACGGCGGTGTAGGGGCGTAGGATGACCGAAATGCAGGCAGTGGGAACGACGAGAGAGAGAGAGAGAGAGAGAGAGAGAGAGAGAGTACTTGGATCGATTCGTTCAGCAACGCACCGGGCATCAGGTAAGTCTCCAAGGCCGCGGCTGGCCTCGCGCAACTTCCATTGAAAGGATGAGCAAAATCAATCGAGTCTTCCGCTAGAACGTCGAAATATTCACTGCTACACACGTGTGTATGTGTGTGTGTGTGTGTGTGTGTGTGTGTGTGTGTGTGTGTGTGTGTGTGCGCGAGAGAGAGAGAGAGTAGTTCGATCAA